TTTCTGTTTAAACAAAAAAGAAAGGCTTTCATTTTAACATAGTAAAATTACATATAATCAAACAGTTATCAAGCAAGAATTACAGTCACAATATTTATAACTATATCTTTATCATAATAATGGAAAACTATAACTATGACTATCCATTCTTCTACTCCATCAAAGACTCCAGAAGGATATAATATTACCTAAGTAAACAAGAAGTAAGCAACTTCCAAAACTCTAGAAATGACAGAGACATTTTGCTGCCTGGACAGTCACCCAAAGTTCCTCTGTACCGTTGGGGCATCCATCTTCGGCCTTCAGGCCCATAGTATCCAGAGACATTTCCATGAAGCAGGAAATTTCAAAGGCAATTCAGTCACTATCTGCTGTGTCCTGCAGAATGTCTCGCAGACTCTTTTATGAATCAAGAACCTCGAAAGATCATCTCACCTTTAGGCAAGTTCAGCAGTCCTCTCTCTGTGGGTTCTCTGTTTCCAGTTTATATAACAGTCCAGGCAAGAGCAGTTTCTTGCCCAAATGGCTAACCAACTCCATAAGGAGCCTCTTCGATGCCCATCTTCCTCTTGAAGTAGATTGGTGCTGCCAGGAGCAGACATGTCTCATTGTCCTAAGTTATTAAAACATTAAATGCCATGCTCTGTAGTCTTTGAAAGATATGAATGTCTATCTGAAATATATCTGTGCACTTCTAGAAAATCAGACTAACATTACTACAAGCTAGTATTATCCATTAACAACCTATATTTTTAATTATACATTGCATTTTTAAATAAACTACACAATCACAATACCTCAATCAAGATCAGAAACATATATACATATAACAAAATTGACCTTAAAATCCATACCAATGAAATTATTCATATCTATATCATCTATTGAAAAGTCAGGTGTCATTTTAATGTGTGCCTTTATGTTTGACTTGGTCTTTATCTGTTTTAACTTTTAAATACTTTATTGTGCACATTTAGTATTTTGATTATCATGTGCCATGGGGATTTTCTTTTCTGATTTTTACCTATTTCCTTTTCTATGTGTCTTTTATACCTTGAAAGCATCATTTTTTAGATTAAGGTACATTTTCTTCTATGTTTTCTTAAAATTACTTTCTATGCCTTTTATCTGTTTTTTTTTCCCTTTCCTCTATTTATTGGTCTTTTTATAGAGTCAAAGATTTTCTTAGTATTTGGTACCTGAATTTCATTCCTTTATATTCCTTCCTTTCTTTATCATCATTCTTTCCTTTGTCTTCCTTCCTTCCTTCCTTTCTTATTTTCTTCCTTCCCTTCTTCCTTCCTCCCTTTCTTCCTTTCTTCCTTTTTTAATATTTCTTTTGACTGAACTATCCATTTTTCTTTTATCATATCTTCAAGACTTAATTCTCTATTTTTTATTCAGTAGTTTGGAAAGCTTTTCCTCTGAGTTTTTGTTTGGATTTTATTTTGAGTTTTAGTTCAGTTTAGCATTTCTTTTCTTAATTTCCTTTTTTTAAATTTTTATTTATTTATTTATTTATTAAAAATTTTCACCTCCTCCCCTCCTCCCATTAACCTCCCACTCTCCCCACTCCCCTTCTCTCTCACTCTCCAGTACAAAGAGAAGTCAGGGTGCCCTGCCCTGTGGAAAGTCCAAGGCCACCCCTCCATCCAGGACTATAAAGGTGTGCATCCAAACAGACTAGGCTCTTACAAAGCCAGTCTATGCAGTAGAATCAAAATCCAGTGTCGTTATCACTGGCTTCTCAGTTCACCCTCATTGTCAGCCACATTCAGAGAGTCCAATTTGATCACATGCTTTAAAAGAATTTAACCTATGCTGGAGAGGATGTGGAGTAAGGGGAACACTCATCCATTGCTGGTGGGAATGCAAACTTGTGCAACCACTTTGGAAATCAGTGTGGCAGTTTCTCAGGAAACTGGGAGTAAACTTACCTCAGGATCCAGGAATTCCACTCTTGGTAATATACCCAAGAGATTCCCAAACATACTACAAAAGCATTTGTTCAACTATGTTCATAGCTGCACTATTTGTAATAGCCAGAACCTGGAAACAACCTAGGTGCCCCTCAATAGAAGAATGGATAAAGAAAGTATGGCACATATACACATTAGAGGTCTACGCAGAGGTAAAAAACAATGACATCTTGAATTTTGCATGCAAATTGATGGAAATAGAAAACACTATCCTGAGTGAGGTAACCCAGACCCAAAAAGATGAATATGGTATGTACTCACTTGTGGAGATTTGGAGACTGTGTTATAAAATGCAGGGATCGTGCCACCCACGCCAGGGAAGGTGTTGAGTACTGCCTTGGAATCTAAAAGAAGTTCCATGGAATGCTATGGGACATTTCCAAGTGACAAGTCCTCTGACCTTTAATATTGAGAACAAGTATCACATACCCTGTGATTTGTGGAAGTGGCTGCCCTGAGGCCGCAGTATCAGCTTGAAGCAGCTGTTCTGCTCACTGAAGGAAGTCTTAGAATAGATTGGGACAGTGAGATAATGTCTCTGGAGGCCCTTGTTTAAAATAGGCTAGGATGTTTTGCAAGCCCCCAGACCACCCTTGCTACATTAAGCTGCTTTGTGTGCATAATCTAAATAAGTCCTTGGTTAACTCATGATCTATAGTTCCTCTTTAAACTGTTGACTAAAGCAATTGTTTCCAAAGCATATAAAAGGATTACTTAATAAACACACAGCATGCAGATGCAAATGCTGTTTTCTGCGCTACATCCCCTGTGTCCTGGTTTGTTCAACACTCTTACCCAGGGACCCCCCCAATGCTCTAGACATCGACACTCACTCATAAGTGGATTCTAGCCATAATTAAAGGACATTGAGCCTATAATTCATGATCCTAGAGAAACTAAATAAGAAGGTGAACTCAAAGAAAAACATATAGTTATCCTACTGGATGTTGAAAGTAGATAAGATTGCCAGGCAAAAGTTGGAAGATTGGGGGTGGTAGTGGGGTAGGAGTAAAGAGAAAGGGGAGAGAGAAGTGAGAAGGGGAAGATGGGAAGAGCTTGGGGAAATGAGATGGTTGGGATGGAGGAAGGGTGGATATGGGAGCAGGGAAGTATATATCTTAATTAAGGGAGCTATTTTAGGGTTGGCAAGAGACTGGACTCTAGAGGGGTTCCCAGGTGTCCAAGGGGATGTTTCCAACTAGGTCCTTGGGCAGCAGAGGAGAGGGTGCCTGAACTGGCCTTGTCCCATAGACACATTGATGAATATCTCGAATATCATCATAGAACCTTTATCCAGTGAGGGATGGAGATAGAGACACAGACCCTCATGGGAGCACTGGACTGAGTTCCCAAGGTCCAGATGAAGAGCAGAAGGAGGGAGAAGATGAGCAAGGCAGGCAGGACCGTAAGGGGTGTGTCCACCACTGAGATGGTGTGATTGATCTAATGGGAGCTCACCAAGGCATGCTGGACTGGGACTGATGGAGCATGTGATCAAATCAGACTCTCCTGAATGTGGCTGACAACAGGGGCTGACTAAGAAGTCAATGATAATGGCACTGGGATGTGATTCTACTGCATGTAACTGGCTTTTTGGGAGCCTAGTCTGTTTGGATGCTCACCTTTCTAGGCCTGGATGGAGTGGGGAGGGCCATGGACTTCCCACAGGGCAGGGTGCCCTGACTTCTCTTAGGACTGGAGAGGGAGGGGGAGGTAAATGGGAGGAGGGGAGGATGTGGAAATTTTTAATAAAGAAAGAAAGAAAGAAAGAAAAAGAAAGAATTTTTTCATTTTACATACCAATCCCAGTTCCTTCTTCCTCCCTTCTCTCTGTTCTTCCCACCTTCCTGCCCTCCTAACCCCCTACCACTCCTTGGAGAGGGTGAGGCCTCCCATGGGGAGTCAACAAAGTCTGTCACATCACTCGAGGCAGGACCAAGGCCCTATGCCTGTGTGTAGGTGGATCAAGGTATTCTCCATAGGGAATGGACTCCAAAAACCAGTTCATGCATTAGGGAGAAATACAAGTTCCACTGCCAGTGTCCCCACAAACTGCCCAAAAGTTTGGCAATTCTTTAGTGATTTCATTTTGTTATTGTTGTCTCCTTTCATATCTGGATTTTTTTTCATTATTTCATTCAACCGTTTCTGTGTTGTTTTCACTGCCTTCATTTAGTATTTATTGGTAATCTTTTTAAGTTTCTCCAACACATTCACAGTTGCTCCTGCGAAGTGCTTGCTTTATTGCTTTTCTCATGGCATGCTACAATGGGGCCTCTGGCTTCTGGAGAAGGCATATTACCTTGTTTATTCAGGCTTGTGTTTTGTGCTAGGATCTATGTTAAGCCATTTGACATTCTCCTCGCAGCAAATATTTCATCTGACCTTTGTTGAATGGGACTTTCGCACTTGAATTGCTGTTGCCCACTCTGAACTTTAGCCATGTGTAGTGGCTCTAGGATCTCTGAGTTCCAGACATGTGTGCTGGTGGGAAAAAAAAAACTGTGCAGTAGGTCTAAAAGGAGTCACAAAAGGGTGGAACATGGCTAGAAGAAATGGATAGAAGCTAATAACTAGAAGAATTAGGGGGAAACATCGTGAGGCCAAGTCCCAAGGGGATGGAGGGAGGCTGGGAGGAAAGGCAGTACCTTGCAACACTGCCATTTATTAAGACAAACTTGAGTTTTATGTTTATTATATTTAACATCATTTTTTCTTTATTGTTTTGGGGGCAAAACTTGTCTGTTTACATGTCACACAAAATTTTTATTGGTTTTTAACGTCAATATTGTGATAGTCAATGCACTCTTATACCCAATTAAAATTTTAGTCTTTTGTATAATTACTTGAATAGTTAAAATTATAAAAGTAGTATATTTAGAAGTTAATTCACAAAATTCTTCCTATTTATTAATTAGCAACAAAAGCAAAAATGCACAAATTACTAATATTCATTAGTAATATAAAGTATGACATTTTGTTCTTTCAGATTTATGAAATGTTACATTTTTGAAGACTGAGACACTACCGTGTTCACTGTGAATCAGAACTGTATATAAGAAAGTATAGAAGAAGCTTTGGGAAAGTGGTGGATAGAGAAAGATGGGGGAGCAATTGCATCTGTTCTGAGATGCATCGTGTTCTGGGAACTTTGAATAAACTGCTTTTGCCTTGTGTCAGCACTCTCTGCTGCCAGATTAATCACAATATAATAATACAAGTTTATACTTAATGGATAAAATTTAGTTAAGCAATACTTCAAAAGTAAAATTAAAACTATTGATAATATGCACGCACCTTAACTGAGCAAAGGCATGTGACTAAATTCTACTAACGCTTTTACTGTGATTTTGTGCACGTGGGATAATTGATGTGACCTTCGATGCAAAATGTCTGGAGTCGTTGAGATGTTGCCCGGTGATATCCACTTTTACACTTAAACTCTTGCATCTCCCCTGATTTGTAATACCGCTTTTGTTTTTCTTTCCATCGGAAAATTATGTTATGTTTTTTCATAATTTCTTCTGATACTATGCATGGATCTAAAAGAAAAAAATTATCATAAAATTTCAATACTTATTTCTACAGAGATTTAGTTTTCACATAGAAAGTATTAGATTTAAGGTATTTTTTGCTAAGTTGTTTTTATTTTTTTTGCTTTTTTGAGACAGGTTTTTTTTTTCTTTCTTTCTTTTTTTTTTTTTTGTATAACCATGCTGGCTGTCCTGAAACTTGTTTTGTAGACTAGGCTGGCATCAAACTCACTGATACTTGCCTGCCTCTGCCTCCCAAGTGCTGGGATTATATAGGTGTGTGTCACTGGAACCCGACTGATAAATTCTTAAAAACTATGAAAGGAACACATAAAGTTAAGTAAATAGAGAATATTACATAATGTAAAAGTTATAGGTTTAACATAATAACTAGATTCACCACCAAGTGCTCCTAACATCTGTAACTTGCATTTCAGGATATTTATATTTGTTTTTCTTGACTTAGGTATTGGGCAAAGTCATACAATTTGAGCCATGACATGTATGATAATCAAATCTAATGTTCAGTGATTTGACAGTCATTAAAAATACTGTGAATATTCTGCTGATGTCCATAGCTCCTTATTGATAGTGTAGCAGGGGCCCGACCAATAGTTCATAGCAATGAACTCTTAAAAGTAATGATGAATGGACTAAAGAATAAACTGTGTGGTTCACTGGGTCACATTACAACTTCCATGATGAGATGTTTTTCCTTATTTTTTGTTTGTTTAGTTTTATTTTTGGTTTTTCTTTTAGATTTTGTTTTATTTTGTAGTGATGGGGGAGGTTGCAAGGGTGGAGAGCAGATGTGAGGAGACAGGGAGATACATGGTATCAGGAAGCATGATATGAAATCCACAAAGAATCAATAAGAGTTAAAAGAATTTTAAAAATACTGTGACTAGAAAGCCTAATCATAATTGCCTTCATAATATTCATCATATATTCACAAAGCAGTAACGATGAATGTATCATGAATTTTATTTTGAAAGTTCCTTTTTTAAAGAACTTTCTATTTATCTATTGAATAACCAAACTGTACAAGTGGCAATCCTGGTTGAAATCAGATTACCAACCACTAACTTGGACCCTGGGCTTACATCATAGAAGAATACCATGTTGTCGTTCGGCATTCAACAATTGATAGGAATGTAACAAATTTCCCATCTTAGGATCTGTGAAATAGTATGTGCATTTAACATATACTTGAAGACTGAGTAGGTTGATTTCATTTCTATGGGCATATATCAAAGAAGGGGTATAGGAATAATATATGGTAGGTTTATTTTCAAATTTTAAGCAGCCTCCATAATGTTCTCCATAGTAACTGCACAAAATCACATTTCTAGCATCAGATTAAGAGGTTCTTTCCCTCTATACAGCCATGAGCATTTGTTATTTTAAGGAATCCTTTTTGTGTTACTGCTCTAACTGGTATCTCATTATGACTTTGATTGGCAGTGCCATGAAAAGTATGGTATTAAGCATTATTTCTCTCACCGTCATGCATATTTATTCTTTGGTAAATGTCTACTCATTTTTCCCAGTTTTGGTAGATTCACTTATCTTTTAAAATTTATTTAAATTGTTTCATGTATCTTTTACATAGGAAACCCTTATACTACAGATGTAAACCACAGACCATGAATGGCGGACAATCTTTTTTTTTAGAGTCTGTGTAATAATTGTCTTGATCATGATCTTTACTATACAGAGTTATTTGGATGTTGTATACTCCATTGCCTAAGGTTTGCTTTTGCGTCTTGTGTTTTGGGATCCCATCCAAAATTTAGTGATTAAACTCACTTCTGTGTTTTTCCATTGTTTGTGTTGTACTTTCAGTGTTTTGTACTTACTTTTGATTTTTGATTTTTAATTTGGAGTTGATTTTCTCCCAGAATGAGAGACAGAAAACAAATTTCAATCATCTCCATGTGGATCTCAATTTTCCTTGCATCATTTACTGAAGATTCTCTCATTTTTCCAATATATGTTATTAGAATTCTATCCAAGTCAATTAACTATAGATGCAGAGATAAGTTCTCAGATATATATTCTCTTTCTGTGCATCAGTTGTTATCCAAATATAATGTTTTAGTTGCTGTGAATCTTGGAACAAGATTTTATAGTATTCCATATTTTTCTTTGTTTGAACTTCTTTTTATTGAACGTCTATAAAAAATTTAAAATTATTTCTCATACCTATGTGAAGAATGTTGCCCATGTTTTAATGGAGTTTCATAGAGTCTTATAATTGCTTTGGGAAACATGGAAATTTTAATATTAATTCTTCCAACCCACTAATATGAAATTTCTCCATTATCTTCTTTTATTTTTTTTATTTTTTTTTATTAAATTATAAAAGTTTCCATTTCAGCCCCTCCTCCCAACACCCTCCCACTCCCCCCACTCCCTCTCCTCCTCCCTCTCCATCCCCTAGAGCAGTCAGGGTTTCCTGCCTGTGGGAAGTTCAAGTTCCTCCCCCCTCCCTCCAGGTCCAGGAAAGGTGAGAGTCCAAACAGACTGGAGCGCCAAAATCCAGTATACGCAGAGGAAGCAAGTCCCAGTGTCATTGTCAATGGCTTTTCAAAAAGGCTCCGGGCCAGCCACATTCAGAGAATCTGGTTGGATCACGACCTCGTTCAGTCCCAGTCCAACAGGCCTTGGTAAACTCTCATTAGATCCGTTCCCTTGTATCAGTGGGTGCTCGCATCCCTCGCAGTCCTGATTACTTTTTTTTATGAGATATTTTTCGTCAATTAACTTCAGAATTCAGAAGTCATTCAATTCTGTTAAATTCATTGCTAGATACTTTTTTAAGTTACTGTGAATGATATTGCTTTTATTGTTACTTCTCATAAAAATGGGATTGGCATATAAAAAAAAACACTGATTTTTTTTGTATAATGATACCCACACTGTTTCTTAATCATATTTGTTTTCAGTTCTTACATTTGGGTGCCTCTTCAGGATTTACCACATAGGACAATATATACTTTGAGATAAAATGAGTTGACTCCAATCTTTATATTTGGATACTGACTTTCCTAGGATCTCTGAAAACATGGTACTCACCCAAACACTTTGGCTTCTCCGACCACTCTCCATTTCTACATGTTATTTTCTTGTTTCCCTGCAGTTGGTACAAGGACTGGCACTGATATTCAACTGAAGATAATGGTGCATATACTGGTAAGGGGAAGGAGGTGATGTCTCCATTGTCAATAGGTGGAGGAGGCCCGCATGTCTTTGTTGAATCTAAGAACACACATTTGAGTGTCTGAGAGATCAAGTCAAAGTACAGGCTCAAGCAAAAACTAAGAAAAGTGAAGTGGTAAACATAATATTAAATTTTGGTGATTTTTGGTTATAGAAATGATTGTTTAAGGAAATTTTAATCATATAAATGGAGAGTTAAAGGGCAATTTCTTCCTTCTTTCTCACCTAAAGCACTTACTGAATTAGAGCAAGCATGTCTGTTCTGAAACCTTTCAGTGCTACTAAGAACAGCGCTGAACAGACAGATGTCAATGCAGACAGACAGAGTTTGTTTTCAAGACACTGTTCCTGTATCCACATATTCTTGATCTTCATCATAAGTTTGTAGAAAGACACATTTATTGACAAGAGGTAGATAAGGCTTACTGGTTTCCTGATAGGGTCAAGGTGAGTGTAGGTATCTGTAAGTTACATTTTTCTGCTAACTGCCTGGGAGAGGCTGGCACCGGCACAGCTCCTGGGTCGATCTTTAGATCAACTGAATCACATGGAAAAGACATTTTCCAGTCTATTGAGCTGCCAGAAACGGTGCAGTGTAATTCATGACCCAGATTTTGCGAGTGTCACCTATGCTGGGGCGGGGAGTGCTTTGGTGATACAACCTTCTTTGAGTCATTTCTACTCCTGTAAGTCAAATTTTACTTATATTTCTTTAAGTAACTTCACTAAAACTCATGGTTCACCAAGTTTGTCTTTGGTGTTATCTGTACATTGTTCTCTCTGGTCTTATCTGGGGCAAGTAAGTAGCTGCTTGTTCATCATCTGCACAGGAAAAGTTTTGTCATACAACAAAACTGTACATATAAATACTTTCATATTATTTTTCATCTTATTTTCATAGATGGCCCTAAGGCCATGGTTTAGCCAAGTGTTGTCCCAATGAATTAAGTTCTATTAAGTTCTACCCTTGCATTCTATGTTAGCATTGTTTTAAAGAAAGCCATGATTCCATAATCTTGAACTGCTTGTAGTCAGAGAGAAATTAGTGAGCATCATTTGTTTAGTTTGATTTTTATTTATTTTGGGGTCATAGGTTTCTTCTTGTTTGTTTGTGATAAGTTTTCAAAGAAAGACCAAACTTGTCTAGAATTCAAGACACTCATGCTTCTGTCTCCCAAGTTCTACAATTACAGGTATGTCCTACTTTGCCAGATATTGGCATCCTTAATGAATTAAATTTGAATGGGCCCTTGGGCTGAGAATCAAGTTTCTCAGTCTGTTGCTATCCTTTCAAATTTTCTACTCTGTTATTGTCCTTCATCTTCCCTCACATGGTTCAAGTTTGAATGACCCTGCTTCCTACTACAAATCATTATTTTGATAATCTAGACATACTTTTAATAAGAACTGACATTTATGATAATAAAACAATTACATTCTAATCACAGATATAGGATATACACAGGTCAGACACACGAGTCATTATTTTAATATTTTGTTCATTTGTTTTTGGAAACAGATTCATTATGTAGGCCAACACGTTCTCAAATTTAAAACATCTTGCTCCAAGGCCCTAACTGCTAGAATCAAAATATGTGCTATCACACCTGCTGAATGTCCTATGAGAAAAAACAGATTATCGGCTAATGAGAAGGCTTAGCCACTGAGAGTGCTTGCCTCTAAGCCTTGCGACCTATGTTCAATCCCAATGGCTTACTTGGTGAAAAGAGTGAGCTAACTCTCATAGGCATGGGACATTTACATGTGCAATGTGGCCTGCATACATCCATTAACACCCACACACATGCAAATACACAGGAGAAATAAATTAATGTGATGAAATAATAAAAATAAAATTACTCGTCTTTGGACTTCCAAATAGTTTTTTTTCTCTCTTAGTTTACATTAAATCACAAGGGAAATTTTAGGAAATTCAATTTCTTAAAGTAAAACATAAATCTTTATTTTTTTTTTGTGAACAGAAAAGTCCCAGAGACAATAGTACTCACCGTGACATGAGGGAACAGCAGACCATCCATCATCATTACATATTATGGAGTCTCTGGTACGGTTATGTTTGTTTACATATCCAACATCGCATTCATAGTCCAATTCATCATTGAGTTTAAACAATGTGCTATTATTTTCAGTTCCAGCATTCTCAAATACAGGCCTATCACAAGACTCTAATGCAAAATAAAATTCAAGATTTAATTTGTAATATGTGAATGGATAATCTCAGTAATTTTCACAACAAGAACAAAAGGCCTTATAATAATATATGGTAACAGATTAAATACTGTATAAAAACATCTAAGAAAACCAACAATAGATAATTTTACTAAAACATTTATTAAAATGCAAAATAGTTTTTTACATAACATTTATCTCCTCACTTAAGATTTTCCAAATTAATATTTTAAAAATCATTTCACAACTCAATTTTCCTTATATTTATGACTTTACAAATAAATAGACAAGTGCAGAAGTATTTTTAGGAATGTATAATAGTATTTTGTGAATTAAGGTTTCATATTTAGTAGTTAATATGAAACAGAATTTGGAAAAGTAGATTAGCTGAATTTAAAATTGATATATTCATTGTATTATATCAAAGATTTTCTCTTAACAATATGAAAATCTAATGTAGGCTTATTAATTATAATTTAATTTAATATAAATGAATATTATATGGGAATAATTTTAATTGTTTTTTCTTTAACTAGATTCTGCAAAGTACAATGAGTAGAGAAAATAGAAATTAAAAAAGTAATGAATATTAGAAAGAGCCCTTTCATTTAAGGTATGTTTAACATTTCTTGTAAAACATTATTGCTGTTTTTCTGATAAATAAGATAAGATGAACTAATTAGTCTCAGAAAAACCTCATTAGTTGTAGGTCCTATAACAAGGGGAATTTCAAGACAGCAAAGTGTGTTACACATGGAGGCATTTCTTTCTTTCCAATATCAAGATATTCGGAAAGATTTTCTTTGCGGGAGACATTCCAAAATGGACTTTAACTGACAGTGTCAAATATATATTATAAAGGTTTTCATATATTCTGGGATTTCAAATGTGAACATATATCTTCACTAAAAAATCTTGCCATTGCATATGGGAACAAAGGCTTGTATATGCAAGGCAGAACATCTTTAAAATTTCAGTGTTTCAAATAATTCTTCACTAGATTTAAAATTATATGATATTTTAAATCATTTAAAAGGGAAATGAACTGATATTCTACAATATAGCAATGAGTCCAAAAGGAAAGCCAAATAATCGTGTAAATTGTTTTCTAAAGTTTAAAACTCATCTTTCAAATGAAATGACGACAGTCACCTCAAAGAAGAATAATGTTAAACTCTTATACATCACCAGTATAATGGCAGCAATACAACAAAGTACTCACTAATGCACGAGGGTTGAGGGGACCATCCGTTCTGTAGGCAGGTAATTGATCCTGACATTTTTCCATTTGATGTTACATATCCTGGTTTACACCTATACTGTGTTGTTTTATTTAATGAATATATATAATGAGTTTCAGAAAGAAACCCATTCTCAAGCTCTATATTCTTTGAACATATTTCTAAAAGGAAAAAAAATAAGAAAAATATGAATGCGTGCTCAGTAGCTAAAAGATCTACAATATGAAACTGTGCTAAGAATAACCATTCATCATTATACACGAAGACCTGGAATAATCAAAATATTTTCATTACTAACAAATCTTATGTTTAAAGACAAACCATAATCCTCTGTGAATGTTTTCCAACAAAGCAAGATTTAAATCTTCTAAATCATATTCTTTTCTAAAATATATTAAACTTTTTCTTGGTCCAAGTTTGTTCATAATCCAATGGAATATCAGAACTCTGGACAATACACATTTTTTTCTTGCACTTTTTTTTGACCAGAAAGTAAATTAATTATCGTAGGAAACTAGACTCATTTATCTAATTAGAATTTTAGGGGTTGGGTGATGATCTCAGAAAATGTATTTACGTAATTGATACAGACAGCAGTATCAAAGATTCAAAATGTCACCATAACTGCATACCTAAAATGCAGTAGATGTTCAAGTTCAAAGAAGATCAGAAGAGAGAGTAAGTTTATTTGATCTTCTTATGCCGAGATCACGTTTCCTCAGCTACTCTGCAGCTGAGAGCGAAAGTGCAGAATAAATCTCTTAATTTTATTTTTCTTATAAGCTGAATAATATTTCATTGAGAAATGTACCATATTAAGGTATATTGCATGAAAATTCAATTTAAAAAAGAAATAAAAGTATGCTTCTTCTAGTTATTAATTTTTCTCAGTACACATATTTGCTTGTTTATGGATAAGCTGAAAATCAAAGAAGAAAATTTTATATATTTTATATAAATGCCAATGAAAACATTACATAGAACACTGGCAGGAAACACAAAGTAGTGAAGAGACAGGAACACCATCAAACAGTTGGAAAAGAATAAAAGAATAAAGAATAAAATTCAATAAATATTTTCATGTTGTTAGCTTGAAATACGAAGCAAATGCTAACACAAACATAAGTTGTGACAACCTAAAATGATGAACAGAGGGAGGGACCAAGTACATGCCAAATAAGGGAAGGGAAATCAGTTGTGATTTTTGTAAAGGAATGGAAGACATTGTAAAGAAAAGAAAAACAGAGTGCCAGACACCAGCAAGGAGGGAACAGAGAAATAGAGTTGAAAATTACCAATGCCTGTTATTAGAAGGCAAAGAGCACCAGACTAGAATTCCAGAGTAGCGATAGATTAATGAAGCCCCTTATCAGCTACAGATGGAGGGATTTTTACAGAAAATAGCACAGGAAGAAAGATGTCAACCGGAAAAAAGTGAATATGTTACTGAACTTAAACAACAAAAGTTACTGCTGTCAATGACATTGGAATTAATGGAAGCTGCGGCACAGAAAAGCAGAGAAGAGATAACATTAGAGTTCTCCAATTTCCGCAATCATCCTTTAGCTTCTCTGTCCAGATGCCAGTATGTCCCACAGTACAAGGCTGTGATGCCGAGGGACATGAGCAGAAAAACCACCCCAAATAGTAAGACAGAGGTTCCCAGCACACCAACAACGTGCAATATTCAAATTGAAAGAGTAGAAGTATTCCTTTGAATCACCATGATCGTTTAGAAAGTCCACAAGAAGAAGTTTATAGATATTCTGAACACACTAGTTGCATAAAAAAATCTCTCCAAACAAGTCTAATAAAATGTCATAGGGAACAAAATGATTACTCAAAATAAATCTTCCTATCCTGCAGGTTTCCCGTCCCAAGCCCTGACAGCAGGAGTTCCAACAAAGTGATGCTGCTCTCCTCAAAGAATTGTTGTAAAGGTGAAAGAAAAATATATTTGTGGCAACATCTTATTTCCCTCTCTCCCCAAATCCCAGAAAAACATTTGGTAAATGCTCACCTACCATTCAAGTATCAATGGATATCAAAATACACAAATCCATGGGATAACGACTAAGAATATAGAAGAATTTTGCTACATGCAACATATACATTGTAAGGAACATAGTCCCACATGCACAAACTGAGAATCCCTCATGATATTAGAAAAGAGCAGAAATGAGGGAGGGCAGTGGAGAATCATGTCCAGAACTGAAATAACAAAGCAGAAAAGTAAAAGACACTACACATGTAAGACACTGACACACTCTTATAATAAAATGAACTTCAAACTTTGATAGCAGAAAAATTCTTAAGTTAATACATTTCTTACTAGACTTATTTGATAAAAAGCAGAGTTTGCACAGATTACCAATATCAGCAATGATGGCTCTTTTACCTATTTTAAAGGAACAATTGGGGACTATTTTGGACACTTGTGTCAATTAATTTGACAAATTGATAACTAATCGAGTTAGTAAAAACCACAGACTATACAACTTACAGAAATAGAGAAAGGTAAAAGTCCAGAGGCAAGAGATAGATAGCATAATTTAAATTAAGAAAATCTGGCTAGAAATAAGCTAACGTAGGACTGGTCATTCATAAGAAAAGATAAGGCTCTGTGAGTGATTATTTGGGAGTTTGGTGGTAGGCTGCCAAATGAGCAAAGTAAAAATCAACCAATTACATTTTGGTGCCCAACATGGGATTCCAAATGTTGTTTCTCATTAGATTCAATAGCTTCCTTTTACACAACTACTTTCTTAGTCAGCGATTGCAACTCTGAAGCTATTGGTAACAGTTTGGCCACACCAGCCATAGCCAGGTAGTAATTCTGTTCCCTTTGGGAACTAGCTTTACCATAGGTACTAAAGGGAGCTTTATCTTGATCTCTATCCATCTGTAGAACTCAGGACTCAAAGGTTGAGGAGAAATTCTGCTTGCACAGAGAGGCTAAGTAGCAAGCAGCTAACCTTTTCTAGCTCGCATTTCTTGAAAAAACTGGTCATCCTTCTCCTCAGCCCCACATAAAAACCATGGCTACACATGATTCCTTCCCATCACTTCCTGTCAATTAGTTGCTGACTCAGCCTATTGATCCTAGGTTAATTTTATTTAATCAAACAAGGGTAATATATCGTTGCATCATTAAACAAATAATCAACAGCATAAACTAATGTAACACATCTTAAATTAATATTCCACAGCAGTCAAAAAAATGTTAAATCTAAAGAATTGCTGACACAAAACATCCAAGAAATCTGGGACACTGTGAAAAGACCAAACCCAAGAACAATAGTAATAGAAGAAGAAAAATATACCAGTTCAAAGGCCAAGAAACAGTTTTTTAACAAAATCATAAAAGAAAAATTTCTAACTTAAAGAAGAAGATGCCTGTAAAAGTAAAAGAAGCATACAGAACACAAAACAGAAGCAAACAGAACACCAAATAGATTGGGCTACAGAAGGCAATCTTGTCAACGCATAAAAATCAAAACACTAACCATACAAAACAAAGAAAGAGTATTAAAATATTCCAGGGCAAAAGAGCAAGTAACATATAAAGGGAGACCTATGAGAATTACACCTGATTTCTCAATGGAGACTTTAAAAGCCAGAAGGGTCTAGATAGATATCTTGCAGACTCTCAGAGACCAGAGATACAAACCCCAACTACTATAACCAGCAAAACCTTTAATAACCATAGTAGAAGAAAACACTATATTCCATAAAGTCAAATTTAACCCTACAAATCCAACCCTACAGAAGGTAATAGAAGGAGATTAACTCTACCCATTAAAATACAGGAAATAGATAATCCCATACCACTAAAACTAAGAACAGGAAAGCACACACATACACATATCTCAACACCACCAACAACAAAGTAATGGGAATTAACAATCATTATTGTTATTGATATCTCTAAATATCAGTGGACCCAACTCCCTGAACTAACAAATGTAAAGCTCAATTAATAAAATCTCGGAGGGAAAAATTGGGGTTTAAGCTGAAGATCTAAAAAACAGAGCAGCCAGCCACTTTTACCTCAACCACATTCTGAAATGGTGATCCTGCCTCTAGGAATCTCAGAATGAGACTGTGACTGAGAACTGTCTCCTCCCATTTCATAATCTTCTCTAGGGCTGGGATTAAACCTGTGCACCACTGGGATTAAAGGCATGCACCACCTAGTTTCTATGGCAACTAGTGTGCCTACTGGTATTAAAGGTCATTGTAGGTATTGGGATTAAAGGTGTGTGTTACCATTAACTGGTCTGTATGGCTGACTAGTGGGGCCATTATACTCTCAGATCTTCAGGCAAGCTTAATTTATTAAAATGCCACTACAAGAATGTATGTGAAAAGAGAATCCTTTCTTCTGCTGCAAACAAGAAACATACCTCAACATCAAAAATAGACATTATCTCAGAGTAAAGGGTTGGAAAAATATTTTCCAAGTAAACGAACCTAAGAAGTACACTGTCATAGCCATTCTCATATCTAACAAAGCAGACATCAAACAAAAATTAATTAAAAGAGACAGTGAAGGGCACTTCTTAGTCATCAAAGGAAAAATTTACCAAGACAACATTTCAGTTCTTATTATCTGTGCCCCAAATCCACCCACACACACCAACACAAAGGCATTCACATTTGTAAAGAAAGCATTACTAAAACTTAAAACACATTGACCCTACACATTGATGGTGGGAGACTTCAATACCACTTTCTAACCAACGGACAGGCCATCAAAACAAAACTAAATAGAGAAGCAGAGATATACTGGAGCTAAAACACACGGTAGACAAGATTGACCTAACAGATATCTACAGAACTTTTCACCCAGATAGAAAAAAATCATGCCTTTTTCTAAGTACCTTAGCAAACTTTCTCTAAAACTGACCATATACCCAGTCATAAAACAAGTCTCAACAGATACAAGCAAATTGAAATAACTATATACACCCTATTAGACCACCAAGGATTATAGCCAGGTTTCAACAACAGAAACAACAGAAAGCCTACAAACTCATGGAAACTGAACATGTCTGTACTGAATAATAACTGAATAAAGACATAAATTAAAGACTTTGTAGAATTCATTGCAAATAAATAGACAACATGCTCAAACTTGTGGGACATCAGGGAAGCAGTG